ATTATTAAGTGCTAACCCAAATTTGTCTAGTCATTCCCACCGATAATTTGATGACATCCCCTCATCATTTTATTATATAAAATAATATACTCCTATACTCGTCGTTTATGAATCCCCCTTGATTTTTACTACTACTTTCCAAGTTTTTTTTTGAAATTGAAAAATTGAAAAACCAAAAATTGAAAAAACAAAAAACCGAAAAACCAAAAATTGAAAAACCGAAAAATCTAAAACCCAGAAGTCGAAAAACCGAAAGATCGTTAATCGAAACATCTGAAAAATTGAACAATCTAAAATTTAAAACTCAAAAAAAGTTAAAATTAAGATATCTGAAATTCGAAAATCGTAAAACTGAAAAATCTCAAAACTGAAACATCGAAAAATTATGAAAACGAAAAATTGAAAAATCGAGAAATCGGAAGTCGCAAAATTTGAATTTAAAAAATCGAAAAGTTGAAAAATTGAAGAATTGAAAAACTTAAGAATCGAAAAATTGAAGTAATGTCGAGAAATCGAGTAATGGAAAGCTGAAAAAAATCGTTTAATGGAGAAATTAAGAAATAGAAAATTTTAAAATTTAGAAACGTCAAAAATTGGAAAATCGAATAATTGAAAAATCTTAAAATTGAAACATCGGACAATTGAGAAATCGAAAAATGAAAAAATCCAGAAATGGAAAATATTTAAGAATCGAAAAATTGAAAAGTCTTAACATTGAAATATGGTACAATTGAGTCATCGAAAAATTGAAAATCGAGAAATTGAAGCACTGGAAGATCCAAAAAATTAAAAATCGAAAAATCAAAAATTGAAAAACCGAGAAATCGAAAAAGTAAATAATTAAGAGATCGAAAAGTCGAAAATTCGAAACATTAAAGAATCGAAAAACTGAAAAATTCCAAAACTGAAACACTGAAAAATTGAGAAATCGAAAATTTGAAAAATCGATAAATCGATAGTTGAAAAATGGAGAATTTGAAAAATTATAGAATTGAATAACAGAAAAATCGAAACATTAAAGAAATGTCGAGAAATCGAGTAATGGGAAAATGAAAACATCGCTTAATGGAGAAATTAAGAAATACACAATAGAAAAATTTAAAAATTGGAAAAAAATGAGTCGAAAAATTGGAAAATCGAAAATTTTTAAGAATCGAAAAATTAAATCGAAAAATTGAAAAATCCCAACACTGAAATATGGCAGAATTGAGTCATCGAAAAATTGAAAACCGTGAAATTGAAACACTGAAAAATTCAAAAATTAAAAAATCGAAAAATCAACACTTTAAAAATCGAAAAATCAAAAATTAAAAAACGAAAATCCTAAACCGAAAAATCGAAAGTTTGATAAATCGTGACATCAAAAAATCGAAAAATTGAAAATTTAAAAATTAAAAACAGTAGATAATCGAGAAATCGAAACGTCGAAAAATCGAAAATTAAAGAATCGGGAAAACTGAAAAATTTCAAAACTGAAACATCGAAAATTCGAGAAATCGAAAAATGAATCAATTCTGAAATCGAAAATTTTTAAAAATCTAGAAATTGAATGGAAAGATTGAAAAATCTCAACACTGAAATATGACAGAATTGAGTCATCGAAAAATTGAACATCGAGAAATCGAAACACTGAAAAATCCAAAAATTCAAAAATCGAAAAATCAAAAATCCAAAACTGAATAATCGAAAATTCGAAAAATCGATAAATTGTGACATCAAAAAATTGAATAATCTAAAATTTAAAAATCCAAAAAAGTAGATATGTAATTGAGAAATCGAAAGTCGAAAAATCGAAAAAGAATCGGAGAATCTGAAAACTTTCAAAACTGAAACATCGAAAAATTGAGAAATTGAAAAATTGAAAAATTGAAAAATCGTAACAGGAAAAATGGAAAATTTAAAAAAATCGAAAAATTCAAAAAAAAGTCGCTTAATGGAGAAATGAAGGAACAGAAAATTTAAAATTTAGAAATGTTAAAATTGAAAAATTGAAAAATTTAAAATCGGAAAATTGAGGAGTCGAAAAATTTAAAAATCGTAAAACTGAAACATTCGAAATTAAGAAATCGAAAAATGAAAAAATCTAGAAATCGAAAATTTTTAAAAATTGCCAAAGTGAATCGAAAAATTGAAAAATTCCAACACTGAAATATGGCAGAATTGAGTTATCCATAACCTGAAAATCGAGAAATCAAAACACTAAAAAAAACAAAAATTTAAAAATCGAAAAATCAAAAACTTAAATCTAAAAATCTATAACCGAGATTTCGAAAAATCAAAAGATTGATTTCAGAAAATCGAAAACTGATGCATCGAAAAATCAATAAATCGAAAGTTCAAAAATGGAAACTTTAAAAAATCGAAAAATTGAAAAATTGAAGAATTGAAAAAGTGGAAAATCGAAACATTGAAGAAATGTCGAGAAATCAAGTATGGGAAAATGAAAAAAATAGTTTAATCAAGAAATGAAGAAATAGAAAATTTGAAAATTCAGAAACGTCAAAAATTGAAAAATCGAAAAAGTAAAAAATCGGAAAATGGAAGAGTCCAAAAATTGAAAATTTGTAAAACTGAAACAACGGGAAATTGTAAATCGAAAAATGAAAAAATCGAGAAAACGAAATTTTTTAAGAATCGAGAAATTGAATCGAAACATTGAAAAATCCCATCAATGAAATATAGACAATTGAGCCATCGATACACTGGTAATCGAGAAATTGAAAAATCAAAAATAGAAAAACGGAAAAATCGAAACATCAAAAAATTAAAGAATCTAAAATTTAAAATTAAAAAAAAAACTAAAAAATTGAGAAATCGAAGTCGAAAAATTAAAGGATCGAAAAACTGGTAAATACCAAAACTGAAACATCGAATAATTGAGAAATCCAAAAATTGAAAAATCGGGAAATCAAAAGTTGAAAAATGAAAAATTTGAAAAATAGAAAAAAAAACAAATCAAGGTTGGGAAAATAAAAAAAATTGCTTAAGGGAGAAATTAAGAAATAGAAAATTTGAAAATTTAGAAACGTCAAAAATCCGAAAACTGAATAGTCGAAAAATTGAAAAATTGTAAAACTGATACAATGGAAAATTGGGAAATTGGAAAATGAAAAATTCGGGAAAACGAAGATTTTTAAGAATCCAGAAATTGAACAGAAACATTGAAAAATCCCAGTGAAATATAGTACAATGTTCAAATCAAAAAGTCAAAAATTGAAAAACCGAAAAATCTAAAACCGAGAAATTGAAAAATTGAAAAATCGAGAAATCGAAAGCCAAAAATTGAAAATTTATAAAATTGGTAAACTGAAGAATTGAAAAACTGGAAAATCGAAACGTTGAAGAAATGTGGGGAAATCAAATATGGGAAAATGAAAAAAATGCTTAAGGGAGAAATTAAGAAATAGAAAATTTGAAAATTTAGAAACGTCAAAAATCCGAAAACTGAATAGTCGAAAAATTGAAAAATTGTAAAACTGATACAATGGAAAATTGGGAAATTGGAAAATGAAAAATTCGGGAAAACGAAGATTTTTAAGAATCCAGAAATTGAACAGAAACATTGAAAAATCCCAGTGAAATATAGTACAATGTTCAAATCAAAAAGTCAAAAATTGAAAAACCGAAAAATCTAAAACCGAGAAATTGAAAAATTGAAAAATCGAGAAATCGAAAGCCAAAAATTGAAAATTTATAAAATTGGTAAACTGAAGAATTGAAAAACTGGAAAATCGAAACGTTGAAGAAATGTGGGGAAATCAAATATGGGAAAATGAAAAAAATGCTTAATGGAGAAATTAAAAAATAGAAAATCTGAAAATTTAGAAAATTGAAAAATTGGAAAATTGAAAAATCTAAAAATCAAGAGGAAAAAACTGAAAATTCCCAATACTGAAATATCGAAAAATAGAGAAACTAAAATTGAAAAGCAGAGAAATTGAAAAATCGAACATTTGAAAAATTGTCATATCTACAATTTTTATTTTTTCCAAAAATCTGGATGGTCAACAAAAAGACAGACGGACAGATGAAAACAGGAGACCTATTTTTTCATACTCTAGGCTAACTAACGCTCAAGAAGTAAAAAAGAAAGCAATTTCCAACGAAAAACAAAATTTACCTGCGCTGTCTGCGAAATCGAAGGTGCTACGATCTAGTTTATTATTTTGACGAATCACTTCAGGCGAAAACTGTATTTGAAACTTAAAAAACGTTTGAATCAACCTAATAATCTTAACTTAGTTGTTGGAAATTGCGCGCTTTCCATTGTTTTACTTTGTAAATCAATTTAAGTAAATTGTGCCATTTTCTTTCCCTGCTTGAATGGCGACGAATGTCGAAAAATTACTTTATTTTATCGATTCGTTTTTCGTCTGCTTTCATTTATTCTTTGTTATGTTCAGCTTCCAAAAATCAGAATGGCGTAGCAGACACAGTGTCACTTACAATAAACTTAACTACTTTTGATTATTTTATCACTATTCTAATTATACCTCCAACACTTTTTGTAGCCAGATTTATTCTTAGTGATTTTCTAAAAATTTAACTTTACTATTACAAAAACTGTCATAAACAATAAAACTCAAAAATGTCCATTATAAACGAGGTGCAAGAAAATTGTTTCTGTGATTATTAAGATTTTTTCTGATCTATTAGTTCCCCTAACAATCAATGGAACAACTATATAGTTAGTTAAAATATGTAACCACAACGACCACTAAGCTGATTTCATTTACAAGGTATCGCACAAATATATATAATACCAACTGCACCTGTAAAACACAGCCAGCTCTAATTCCCTATTTTTTTAGCAACACGAATTATCGACAATTCGTGGCTTACAATTAAATTTGTAAAACCCCGTAATGGAAAATTTTAACACGACACAACGACCACTCATAAATACAATATAAACATTTTATCACAACATACACTTCCGCAGTAAACGCAATCGATTTGGCCATTATCAACCCTTCCCATTTAAACCGCAACATTCCTACCTTCCACAATTCCCACTTTCCCTTGTAAACAAGTAAAAAACGTATGCATATGCAAAGGATATGGATTAGAGATGAGCGCCAAGCACCAGCTCCGAGGTCTGGTGGTTTGAGACAGATATCGTAAAGCTATGGGAGCGATCCCTGGATAAGGAAGGTTCGGGTCGACTTCTATCCCCGATCCTGACCCTGACTCCGACTCTGGAACAGAAATAAACCGAGTTAGTTCGACTATATTACACACAAACAAAAAACAAAATCCATCGGGAAAAATCCGATAAAGTCATCAGTTTGCTCAAGGATGGAGATGCGTTATTGGATTTGCCTAGTCGGCCGTGTTTGCTCGTACACACCTCGCTAATTTTTGATGATGCGCACAGACTAATGAATTTTATTTATGAATGGACTTATTAATACATTAAAGAGGGAAATTGTCTGTGGTTAGAGTGAATGATAAATGAGCCGACCCTGCGTTTTTGTGTCTAATGTGCGGGTTCTTCTACAAATACCTAATTAAAATTTACTGGCATGTGATCTTTTCGGGGGAGGGAAATACTGGGTTAAAGCAGAGCCGTCAAAGTGATATTTTTTTCATTTCATACATACAACACGTTTTCGGCGTACTTGTCAAAAATATAGTAAACAAAAATTTTAGACTGAATTCGAGAACAGGTTTTTGGTATCACGTGCTGCAAGTATTACAGAATATATGCCAAAGAAAATATTGAAACTTGCAACTTCTAAACATCTTTAGAAGATAATAACGTTGTCTGTTTTTTTTATAAATGGTTGTCATATCCGGAGAGCTAAAAATTAAAAAAAAATTCTTTGAAGTTGATATTATTGACAACAAGAAACACCACACAAAGACACCTACGGTAAGTAGGTATCACAATGCTAAAAGCTTCTGCGCAGCTGTTACTCAATGTGTGTTTATAAAAATAATTAAAACACCTCGTCTCCTGAGAACTAGTTTGATCTACAGCCCAGAGCGCGCTCAAGCCAATGTCGACTCTAATAAATTAACAATATTGTTGAAAATGTGGTTATTTTTGTTTTGGAAACAATTTTTGTGGTTATTTTCGATAGATTGTGTGATATTACCACTGAGAAAAAAATGAAAAATTAAAATAATCGAAAATTTGAAAAATCGAGCAATCTATAAGTCGAAAAACAAAGATGTCAAGAAATCGAAACTTAAAAAAATCGTAAAACCGAAAAATGGAAAAAGCGAAAAATGTAAAAGTTAAAAAATCGAAAAATTGAAAAATAGAAATATCGAAGAAGTGAAAATCGAAAAACCGAAACATCAAAAAATCGAAAGAAAGAAAAATTCAAAAATCTAAAATTTAAAAATGGAATAACGAAAAATTGAGAAAACAAAACTCCTAAATTTAAAAAAATAAAACATCGAAAAATTGGATAATTGAAAACCGAAACATCGAAAAACCGGGAAATCGAAAAATCAAAAAAATCGAGAATTCAAAAAGTTAAAAATTGAAAAATTGTTAAATCGTAAAACTGAACAATCGAAACATCCAAATCTCGATAAATCGGGAAATCAAAATATTGAAAAATCTAAAAATTTAAAAAATGAAAATATAAAAAATCGAAAATTTGAAGAAACGATAAATTGAGAAACAGAAAATTTAAAACCAGTAAGTCGAAACATCGGAGGATTAAGAAATCGAAACATTTGAAAAATTCGAAAACTTGAAAAATTGAAATATCGAAGAACTGAAATGAAAAATCGAGAAATCGATAAATCTAAAATTTTTAAAGTTGAAAAATTAAAATATCAAAAAACTGAAAAAACTAAAATTTAAAAATCGAAAAATTCAAAAATCAAAAAACTAAATAAAGCGACACATCGAAAAATCCTGAAGTAAGAAATCAAAAAGTCGAAGAATCAAAATACTGAAGAAAACTGAAATATCGAAAAACTGGAATGTCCAAAATTAAAAAATTGAGAAATCGAAAAATCAAAAAAGTGAAGTCGAAAAATCGAAAAATTGAAAAATCAAAAACCTGAGACATCGAAAAATTCAAAAATTGAAGAACAGTAAAATCGAAGCAATCGAAAATCAAGAAAAAAATCAAAGTATTGATTAATTGAAAAATCGAAAAATTGAGAATTTAGAAAAGTCAGACATTGAAATATTTAAAAATCGTAAAATTGAAGAGAAAAATTGAAAAAACTTAAAACTGAAACATCAAAAAATTGAGAAATCGAAAAATTGAAAAGAGAAATTGTGTCAAATCGAAAAATTAAATAATAAATAATCTGAAAAATCCCAAAACTTAAATTTCGAAAAATTGAACTATGAAAGAAAAACTGAGATATCTCAAAACTGAAAAACTGAGAAATCAAAAAGTCAAAAAAATGAAGTCGAAAAATCAAGACCTTAAAAAATTGAAAAATTGAGGAATTGAAGAAATGAAAAATGAGAAAAATTTGATAATTGAAAATCGAAACATCCAAAAACCAGGAAATCGAGAAATCAAAAGATCGAAAAATCAAAATGTTAAAAATGGAAAAATTGTTAAATCGTAAAATGGAACAATCGAAACATCCAAATCTCGATAAATCGGGAGAACAAAGCATTGAAAAATCGAAAAATTTGAAAAATAAAAAATGAAAAATTCCAAAATTTGAAGAAACGATAAATTGAAAAACAGAAAATCTAAAACCGGGAAGTCGAAAAATCGAAAGATTAAGAAATCGAAACATTTGAAAAATTCGAAAACTTGAAAAACTGAAATATCGAAGAACTTAAATGAAAAATCGAGAAATCGAAAAATCTAAAATTTTAAAGTTGAAGAATTAAAATATCAAAAAATTGAAAAATATAAAATTTAAAAATCGAAGAATTCAAAAATCGAAAAAGTAAATAAAGCTACACATCGAAAAATCCAGAAGTCAAAAATCAAAAAGTCGAACAATCAAAATATTGAAAAAAACTGAAATATTGAAAAACCGGAATGTTCATAATTAAAAAATTGAGAAATCGAAAAATCAAATAGGTGAAGTCAAAAAATCGAAAAATGGAAAAATCAAAAACCTGAAACATCGAAAAATTCAAAAATTGAAGAACAGAAAAATCGAAACAGTCGAAAGTCAAGAAATGGGAAAATCAAATTATTGATTAATTGAAAAATCGAAAAATTGAGAATTTAGAAAAGTCAGACATTGAAATACTTATTTAAAAATCGAAATATTTAAAAATCGTAAAATTGAAGAGAAAAATTGAAAAAACGTAAAACTGAAACATCAAAAAATTGAGAAATCAAAAAATTGAAAATCGAGAAATTTTGTCAAATCGAAAAATTGAATAACAAATAATCTGAAAAATCCCAAAACTTCAGTTTCGAAAAATTGAACTATGAAAGAAAAACCGAGCAATGGAATATGTACCTGAGAAATCTCAAAACTAAAAAGATGAGAAATCAAAAAGTCAAAAAATCAAAACCTTAGAAAATTGAAAAATTGAAGAATTGAAGAAATGAAAAATCGAAAAAGTGAGAGTTTAGAAAGGTCAAATTTGAAAAATTGCAAGAACCAAATATTTTTAAAATCTCAAAATTGAAGAGGAGAAAAATTGGAAAAAAGTAAAATTGAAACATCGCAAAACAGAAATTGAAAATTTAAAAATCGTAAATTTGAAAAATTGAGAAATAGTAAAATCGAAAAATTGAATAATAAAGAGACTGAAAAATCCCAAAAGTGAAATATCCAAAAACTGAGATATTAAAAAAACAAATTTTAGAAATCGAAAAATCAAAAACGTGAAGTCGAAAAATCAAAACCTTAAAAATAGAAAACTGAAAACTCAAAAACCTGAAAAATCGAAAAATTAAAGAATTGAAGAATTGTAAAATCAAAAGAGTCGAAAGTCAAGAAATAGTAAAAACAAAACATCGATTAATCGAAAAATCGAAAAATTGAGAATTTAAATAAGACAAAAATTGAAAAATTAAAAAATCGAAATTTTTAAAAATGGAATAATAAATAATCTGAAAAGTCGCCAAGCTGAAATTTCGAAAAATTGAAAAATGAAAGAAAAACTGAAAAATGGAAAACTGAAAAATCTCAAAACTAAAATATCCAAAAACTGAGAAACTAAAAAATTGAAAAAATGGGAAATCAAAAAGATAAAAAAGTGAAGTAGAAAAATCAAAACCTTAAAAAATTCAAACGCTGGAAATTCAAAAATCTAAAAAATTTAAAATTTAAAGAATTGAAGAAATGAAAAGTCGAGGAGAAAAATTGGAAAAACGTAAACTTGAAACATGGGAAAACTAAGAAATTAAAAATTTAAGGTCGTGAAACTGAAATTTTGAGAAGTTGTAAAATCGAAAAATTGAATAATAAATAAACTGAAAAATCCTAAACCTGAAATTTCGATCAAATTGAAAAATGAAAGAAAAACTAGAAAATTACAAAAAAAAGTGAAGTCAAAAATCGAAACCTCAAAAAATAGAAAAATTGAAAAATCAAAAACCTGAAAAATTGAAAAATTGAAGAATTGTGAAACTGAAAAATCGAAATATTTAAATATTGCAAAATTTAAAGTGGGAAAATTGAAAAACTAAGAAATTGTAAAAATGGAAAATAATCTGAAAAATCCCAAAACTGTAATTTCGATCAAATTGAAAAATGAAAGAAAAACTGGAAAATCACAAAACTGAAATTTCCAAAAACTGAGAAATTAAAAAATCGAAAAATTGAGAAATCGAAAAATCAAAAAAGTGAAGTCAAAAATCGAAACCTTAAAATATAAAAATTGAAAAATCAAAAACCTGAAAAATCGAAAAATTGAAGAATTGAAAAACTGAAAAATCGAAATATTTAAATATTGCAAAATTTAAAGGCTGGGTTTATAAAAGCCGTTAAGTGGGAAAATTGAAAAATTAAGAAATTTCAAAACCTAAAAATGGAATAAATACATAATCTGAAAAATCCCAAAGCAGAAATTTCGGAAAATTGAAAAATGAAAGAAAAATCGAAGAATGGAAAAACCGAAAAATCTCAAAACTGAAATATCCAAAAACTGGGAAATTAAAAAATTGAAACAATGAGAAATCGAAAAGTCAAAAAAGTAAAGTCGAAAAATCAAAACCTTGAAAAATTGAAAAATCAAAAACCTAAAAAATTTAAAAATTAAAGAACTAAAGAAATGAAAATTCAAAAAGTTAGAGCT